CCCTCGCTGAAACACGCAACAAGAGCCACGCTCAGCTCCAAGTCTTCGACCACTCACTTACTCACCCACTCTCTCATTCATCACTACCCGTTACTATCGATCTTAGTTGGTGACCCACCGCCCGTGGTGCTCCAATGTTCAGTCGACGACACAAGAGCCAGCACGTCGACAGCCGCCGGAAGAAGGGAGACTTTCAAAGCACTCTTGGTGATCTGGGCCTCATCGCCAGTCCACGGTCAGGAAGGTCGGCTGGCCCTCGATTCAGGCCTGAAAGTAGTGCAACGGATGCTCCGTTCCATCTTGAGGGTAGGCATATCTCATCTCCCGCGCCCTCTATATACGCCCATACACCCCCCCCCTTAGACTAGATGCTATACTACTATGCGCCGCGACTCGTTCCCATAAACACCCCCTGCCTCCCCTTCGCCACCAACTCTCCCCTCCCCGCGATGATGACAATTTTTTACGCTTCTCTTCTCCTTGACAATTTCACTAACCTTGACTCCCTTCAGGCCAATCCTCATTCAAGTCGGCAGCCTCTCGCAGCACCGTCTCTCTCCAGCAGCGAGCGCGGTCTGGAAGCTCTGCAAGCACCTCCACGTCTAGAAGGGTAGGGGGCATCGACAACAACGTCATGTCGAGCAGTGCGGATCGAGGCCGCATGCGGCGGGACAGGACGTTCGTCGGCAGCGAGTGCGCCGTCTGCGAGGAGCCATTGGAGCACACGCTGCGCGGCGAGCGCATCCTGCAGTTCTCCTGCTCCCATGTCTCCCACGAAGCCTGCTTCTACGAGTTCATCCGCGAAATGGAGGCACAGTACTGCCCAACCTGCGATGCCCCGTTGCATCTCGACTCTAGCCGCGGCGGCAATGTCCTGGACATCAGTTCGTCATCTAGGCGCACGGAAACGCAGAAGCATGCCGCTAATGAAGATGTAGACAAAATCAGCAACATGGTGCGCACTGCCGGCACTGAGTCAAGGGCTGGCACCGTCACGCCGGCGCCCACCTGGGAAGGCCAGGGATCGCCCAACGTAGAGAACAGCACCCCGAGGCGGCAGCCGCTGTCGCACACCCCAAGCGTTGGCCGGTCGAGCGTTGGCAGGTCGAGCCATCGCGATATCAGGGACTCTACCTCGGAGCGCTACGCTTCAACGAGACATACTCGCAACGACAGCACTGGCATGGCCTCTTCGAATGGCTATCCCGAAACCGCCCAGAGCGGCTCTCAATGGCGCCACGACTATGATGTGCAGACAATGGAGGCGACGCCCAGCAGCCCCCGTCCCGCTACAAGAAACCCTATCCCACCCCCGATTGTCACCATTCGCTCCGAGTTTCCCACCATCAGCCGATCTCGCCAGCAGCAGACTCTCACCTGCCTTGTTACCGTTGAGGTTCCCGACAACAATTGGCGGCCAGATCCCGAGGACATCGGCTCGCCCGTGCAGTCTCAGTTGGCCATTAACCCGGGCATTACTGAGGCGGCCCCTCGCGCCATATCGCCTGCTCCGACGCCGACGACAAGTGCTCCACGCTTCCACCCTTACGAGTCCGCCGAAGTTCTTGAGGAGATGACGGAGAATCTACGCAACCGCGTCGACAACTGGCATGGGTTGGAGTTTAGCCGATTCGGGCAGCTGAGGCTGTGCGGCACGCTGCGGGTGGGCAAGGATAAAGTGTCTTGGCAGGAGCTCGAGTGCTACCTCTTTTCTGAGATGCTCATCTGTGTCAAGGAGAAGAAGCTTCCGGCTCAGTGGGACGATGGCCAGCGAAAACCGGCCACCCGCTGCACGCTCAAGGGTTCCATCCTGATCAAGAAGCACCTTAACGACGTGACGGAGACGGGTGCTATTGATGAGAATATCCTCACGCTCAACCTCTCCGTGGCCGAGCTGCCCCAGTTTCATCTCAGATTCGACAACCGAAACCAGCTCAAGCTGTGGAACCAAGCTCTGTTGGACTTGAACGCGGTCGACTTTGCGCCCTCTGTTCGAAGCCCCGACCTGGACCGCGGCGAAATGTCTGAAAACGACGAGGATCCCGATTGGGGCCGCGTTGGCCGGCAGCGTGTATCCTCCGTCGCCTCGTCATGGGGTCACAAGTCCACCGCGACTGCGATGACCGAGTACACCAACGTGCCCAGCAAGACGGCCCGCCTTCCGACCCCCGTTCACGTTCCAATCGACGTTGTCGTAGTTGTTCCTATTTCCTCTTCCATGCAGGGCGTCAAGATCAACCTGGTCCGCGACGCGCTGAAGTTCATGGTCAGCACTCTCGGCGAGAGGGACCGCATGGGCCTTGTCACGTTCGGCTCTGGAGGCGGCGGTGTGCCTATTGTTGGCATGACTACAAAGGCCTGGCCCGGTTGGTCCAACGTCCTGGGCTCGATCAAGCCTGTTGGACAGAAGAGCCACCGCGCGGACGTGGTTGAAGGGGCCAATGTCGCCATGGACCTGCTGATGCAGCGAAAGCACAACAACCCCATTGCCACCATTTTGCTCATTAGCGATGCGTCGACGTCTGATGCTGATTCCGTGGACTTTGTCGTCTCTAGGGCAGAAGCCGCAAAGTAAGTTGGGCAACGTCAATAATCTTGAGGTGTAATGTGCTAACAAGACTGCCGTAGGATCACGATTCATTCTTTCGGATTGGGAATGACGCACAAGCCTGACACAATGATTGAGCTCTCAACAAGGACCAAGGCATCTTACACATATGTTAAGGACTGGATGATGCTGCGGGAGTGCCTGGCCGGCTGCTTGGGCAGCATGCAGACTCTGTCTCACCAGAACGTCAAGCTTAAGCTCAAGCTTCCCGAAGGGTCGCCTGCCAAGTTCCACAAGATCAGCGGCGCTCTGCAAATCACCAAGCGAGCCACGGGACGGGACGCGGAAGCGTCGCTCGGCGACCTGCGCTTCGGAGACAAGCGTGATGTGCTGGTGCAGCTCGTCATCCTCCCCGACACCTCTTCTCAGGAGACGCTTGCTCCGGATCCGTGGGACAACATTGTCTCAGGTCTTGAGGCTCTTGGCGGCTCGGCGGATACGGATACCGAGAGGACTCTTTCGGTCGAAGAAGTGCCCCTCATCCAAGCTGACCTCACCTGGGGCGACATCTTGCGGGACGGCACCACTGCGCAGATGCCCCGGCCGTCTCTGCTGGCCATTACGATGCTTCCAGCAAACATGGGCCAGAAGAACCGGTGGCAGAACACGCCGCCCATCCCGCCGCACCCAAGCGTCGTCCAGAGACGCATGGAGCTGCTCACGTCCGACATGCTGACGCGTGCACTGACTCTGGTGAGCCGCGGTCAGCACGACCGCGCTCATACGCTGCTGAACGAAACCCGCTCTATCCTCAAGGGACTTGGAAAGGGCGGCTTGCCTCCTGTGCCTCCGAGCAAGTCGTTGCCCTCGACACCGCACCCGGGCAACGACGGGTCCTCGGCATCCGGAACGCCAGATCGGAGGCGCAGCCCGTCTCCCAACTCGGCGGCATCCTCCTCCGGGAACAACATGCCTGGCTCTGCACTCGGACCTCCTCCTCCCCTGGGCCGAACGCGTTCTGCAGACGGACTGGCGCTCGGCGCTGGCATCGATGCCACGACGGTGTCTGCTCTCGACGCCGAGCTGGAGAGCAGCCTAGAATGGATCAACCATCCCGCCGTGTTCGGTCGCGACAGCCGCAAGGCGGTGCTTCAAGCCATTGGCGTCATCAGCTCACAGCGAGCCTTCACGTCTCGAAGCCCTGTCGAGAGCTTGTGGGCGAACCGCATCAGTGGCATCAAGCGCCTTGCAGAGCGCAGCCGAGAGTGGCGAGAAGAGGGCGGCGGCGAAGGTGGTATCACAGAAGAGGCTTGAGTTGACTATTTCTAGTCGGGGACGAAGGACGGTCTTGTCTACTTCGTTTATAGCATGGTCATGGCGTTTGGGGAGGCTGGCTGGCTTTTTGCCTTTTTTGCTTGTTTTGTTAGCAAGCTCTACGACGGCCTCATGGATCTTTTCTTTCCTTTTCCTTTTCATTTTGGAACGCTCTTCGGAATCTCTTGGAACGTCTGGACGTATTCACGACTCTTTTTCTTGCAAAAGATATCTTATTTACCGACTTGATGGTGATACATCAAGCATAGAAATCTATGACGCTGCAATCTCCTGTCTCTCTCGCAACAGTATACCCCTCAAGACGCACACGCACACGGACTCCCTCTATCTCTTGCGGATAGCCAGAGTTGTCGCCCCCTGCTTGTTTCCTGAAATCTTTCCTTTTCCTTTTCGAGTCGTTTCTTTTCTTCTTCAGAGTCTTGACCCATCTGAAATTCGCGGTGCAGGATGATAGTCCTTGTTAGCACCTTTTCAATCTCCCTGATACTCTCGAAGAAGAAACATATGCTGCGCATTGCTTGTTGTTACACTTTTTTTTTTCTTTAGTGCGACTCATCTCTGGAGCCTGTGTATATTTCCTTTATCCCCCTTGTTTTGTGTTTGTACTGAACGGGTTGGTTCGGATTCTCGGAAGATGGTTACTGTCTCGAGGAATACTTGGCGGAGAGCGAGTTTGCTTGCGTGCATGGACTGAGCAAAGATGCTTTACGTGTAACATACTTATCTTTTCTACTTGCATGCTATGGTATCACGAGAACACAGTGGAATGGATGGAGGCCATAGTTCAGTCCCGAGCTTTCCATTACTCCTTGGGCTTTACTGCTGAATATAAGGCTGATGAGCCTGTTTCGCTGGGCGCTCAACTCTGTTGCCGTTCCAATTGAGTGATGTACTGCAACTACGTGTCTATAGGGTTTACTGGTGGTCGCTCAGCTTGTAGCCGAGCGACTGAGAAAGGGGGACGAGATACGATAGCCAAAGATGTGAGAATCCTATTTCCCATTCTGCAACGATTCTTTCCCTCTCTCTTCAAAGATGTCGACGATGAAAGCCACATGTAACCAGCTCATTCCAAAGAAGATATCAGCTTTCACGGGCCCAACAGAGACCATGTCTTTCAGTCCTTCTTCTCAACAGGATTCGCCAACGCCTCGAGAATCTCCTCAAAAGCCTGCACAATCTCCCCCGCATGCTTCTCCTCCCACTCCCTCCTCGAAGTCTCCCCCAGCTTGCCCTCCCCGACAGCCAAAAACGCCTCGGGCCCGACGCCGCCCGCAAACGCAAGCTGCGGCCTCGTCTTGGAGACCCTGAGGCCGACGCCCTGGAGCGACGTGGCGACCTGCTCGGAGGCGATCTTGCCGCCCGAGATGCCGTAGCTGACGACGGCGGCGGGCTTCCCGTCCCACTCGTTCTTGAGGTAGTCGATTGCGTTCTTGGTGCTGCCGGCCATGCCGTAGTTGTACTCGGGGACGAGCAGGAGGTAGGCGTCGTGGGAGGCGACCTCGGCGGACCAGCGCCTGGAGTGGTCGTGGACGAAGGAGGCCCGGGCGGGGACGTTGGCGGGGACGACGGGCTCGTCGAAGACGGGGAGGCGGAAGGGGGCGAGGTCGACGGTCTTGAGGGCTGCTGAGGGGTTCGAGGAGGAGGGGATGTGCTTTGCGAGGATGGCGGTGATGAGGGATGCGATGGAGGGGCCGACGCGGGGGGTGCGGGTGCTGGTTATGATGAGGGCGATGGAGGGGGCCATTTTTGATGGTGTTTTTGGGCTGTTGTGAGTGGTTTTGTGAGATTTTGCGTTGGTTGTCGTTTGAGGATGGATGAGGTAGAGCGGTAGAGTTGAGAGAGAGCGGGGGGGAGAGAGGAGGAACTGATATATATATATGTATGTATGTATATAGATATATAGGAGGTATGCATCGTTCGTATAGAAGTAGAGAGACTATATGAGTCTATACAACTGCTCATATCAAGCCCATCTTCTCCCAATACCCCAGAGTCGGGCAACTACCTAAAAGAGCTCCCCTATTTCCGACGAGATGCAAAGTTCCAGGAGCAACTCCGTACAAGGGAAGACAAGTCCCCCTTTCTGCAGCGGACAAAGCATTACTAGGCTCAGCCAAGAATAGAAACAAGAAAAGGCAACATGAGAAAGAAAAAGAGTATGGGCATCTTTAGTCCTCTATACGGGGTACTCCAACTTACACGAAACGGCAAATCCTCCCAAGTTCGAGGTATCAAAACAGGCAATTGGATCCCGGCGTTGAGCCCCCTGATTCGCCCGAACCCTCTCGGCCTCAAGTACAGACCGGGTCTCCAACCGCGCGGGATGCCCCATTAAATTCAAATCATACCAAACAAAGGGATCAAAGAGGAAAAGGAACATGAGGTACAGTGTTGCCTCCGGCGCTGTGATACCTGATTGGACAGTTGACCGTTTAACCGAGTTGTTGTGTGGCCTTGTCAAAGGTTGATAGGCTATGTGCTTGTATGCGGTGGTTTGAGGCTTGTAATTCCGACGCCTCGCTGGGGCCGTTGTATATCCGCGTATAAGTCGGTCTTACGGAATAGCCTCAACGCCTGGTACCCGTATCGCGGTCAATAGGGCGGAATTTGCGATTCGTGTCATCGGAGTGCGTATTGTTATAGTCTTATTGGACTGAAGGTTGGTTGAGCAGGTTGAACGATGGTTGAAAGTCCGCATCATGGGAGCGCGGAATTACATATACGAGTACACGTATCACTGCAACATGCCCTTCCCTACCCTTGGATAACTTTCCAAGAACAGAGAGCTCATGAATTGGTTGCTACTGTTGTCCTTCCATAATGCAGACGCACAGACATGTGATTAATATTCTATATTTTTTCCTAGTCATCATATTACATAGCCTGCCTCAACATGGTCCGGGATATCTATGCTTTTATGCCTCCTCTCAACCCACTTCAACTTCTGTTCCTTCAGTCCTCATCCCAGTTCTGTAAATGATAGTTAGCAAAGGACATCATCATCAAAGGGGGCCCAGAATCAGCTTCAACTTACAGGGTTGGGACCAGGAGGCTTCGGCCCTCCAGCCTGTCTCGCCACGATAATCTGGTCGACTGACAGGACCGTGCGGGCAGCCTCTGTGGCGAGGTTGATGGCCCAGCTCTTGGACGCCAGCAGGTCGAGAATGCCCTCCTTGGTGGCGTTCAACACTCCGTTGCCCTCCTCGTTCTCCACGTCGACACCGGCATCGCCGCTCTCGCTCTTGTGGTGAGCAGCGTACAGCGTGCTGAGAACCTCGGTGGCATCCAGACCGCAGCTCTCGGCCAGGGTGCGGGGAATGACCTCAAAGGCCTCGCCGTACTTCTTGATGGCGTACTGGCTCAGGCCAGGCGTCTTCTCACCCTGCGCCTGGATCTTGGCGCTCAGTGAAATCTCCGCGGCACCGGCGCCGGGCACCAGCCTGGGGTCCTTGGTGATGGCCTTGACAACGTTGACGCCGTCGTCGACCGCTCGCTCAATGTCGTCGAGGTGGTTCTGCGTGGCACCACGAAGGACCAGCGTAGCGGTGCGCGTGACTTCGTCCTCTTGCCTGAAGACGGTGACTCGGTCGCCGCCAATCTCAAGCGTCTCAACAACGTCGATGCTGCCCATCTCGTCGGGCATGGGGGCACCCAGCCGAGCCAGGGGCGTGGCGCCGACGACGCGGCAGATTCTTCGCAGCTCAAACTTGCTGAGGATGCGGATGTAGAGGATGCCGAAGCGGTTGAGGTAGTGCGAGGCCAGGTCGCCGATGCGGTCGCCGCAGACGACGACGCGCAGGCCCGAGTCGTAGAGCTCCTTGATTGCCTTCTCCAGCTGTGCCTCCTCGCCCTTGGTGAAGTCCATCATCTCCTTTGCGTTGTGCAGCAGCACGGTGCCCTTGGTCTCTGTCTGGCTCGTGTCGATGGGGCAGGTGAAGACGCCGACCTTGGCGCGGCTGGCCTTCTTGATCGACCCATCCGGCTCCTTGGGAAAGACCATGCCCTTGACGACCCTGCTCTGGTCCAGGCTGCCGCCCATGATCTTGACCACTCGGATGTTGTCGACGTTGAAGTTGGCGGGGTTCTTGGGCAGCACGGCCAGCACGGCCTCGGCCACGAGCTTTGACAGGAAGTCCTCGTTTCCGTTCTGCTTGCTGGCGATGACGGTCCGCAGGGCCTTGCTCAGCTCGGCCTGGTTCTGGATCTCGCCCACCTTGTCGACGGCGAGCTCCTCGAGCGTCTCCAGGGCAATCTTCTGCGCCTTTTCGTAGCCGATGACGATGTCGGACGTCTTGAGGCCCATCCGCAGCAGGTCCTCGGCCTTGCGCAGCAGCTCTCCGGCCAGGACGATGACGAGGTTTGTGGCGTCGCCCATCTCAGCCTCCTGCTGCTGGGAGGCCATGACGAGCAGCTTGGCGGCGGGATGGACGACGTCGAGCTCGCGGAGGATGGTGGCGGCGTCGGAGGTGAGGATCATCTTCTGCAGGTGGTTGATGACGACCTTGTTGCGGCCGTAGGGGCCCAGCGACGTCTGGACGGTGGAGGTGATGGCTCGGCAGGCGTCGATATTCCGCAGCACGGCGCCATCTTCTGCGTCGTAGCTGGTGGACGAGGCGTTGGGTCAGCGTGTGCTCTATCTTGAGGCTTGCAGGTGGCAGATGTGGCGGACAATGCCCTGTGTGTTTGTTCTTCTTGTGCATCTGGTATATCTCTGTGTGGCATTTGGATGGATGGCGGGGTTGAAGCAAGCAACTCACCTGTTGTAGCCCTTCTTGAAGAGGCCCGCGTTGGGCGCGTTGGGGATGTTGAGAGACATGGCGGGTAGAGACTGAAACCGGGACAGTAGATCAAGATCAAATCCGTATCCTCGCCCAGACACGCAATGTTGACGATGGGTTCGTTTTCCAACCCTTTTGGAGCTCCTTGGGAAAATCTTGGGGGGTCGTGAGTTGCTGGCAGCCTGGGGCAACTTTTTGTGGTGCTTGGCCAATCAAGGCGGCGTCTGGCGAGGAAAGGGTGTTAATCCGCCCGCCAGCGGAAGCTGCCCCTCCATGGCCCGGTTCTAGCAGTGCATGGAAGAGGCCGAAAATAGGGGTTATGATGCTTGTATTCTATTGCACCTCGAGCTGCTACAGATGGGACATGTTGTACTTCTTCTCAAATTGACAATCTACATAGGAGCTGTACTGCATCAGGTTGAACCGTCTTGAAGGGCAATTGGCTTAATAGCTGAATTAGTACCTAGCGAGAAGTGGTAAAGAGTTCAGCTGCAAGTATAGTACTTGTAGCTGCTAGCGGTACCTTGACACAGACGACCACCTCAGTCTTGATCGTGACGGGTTCCATGAAATTCAAGAGACTGCTGCTAAAGGCAGAAATAAACCACATCATCAGACTCAGCTACTAGCAACACCTTCATCGATCCTCCACATACAACAGAATTGGTAGAGACTAACAGCCGTCTTCGAACCCATGATGCTGACCTGTCCAGCACTTCATTGGACAGTACAGGCTGCTGAGTAACCGCTTAATCCCAGCACAGCGCCGTCCCTGTCCAGCTCCAGCAGCCGTTAGTGGAGGCTCGCAGCTGAAGCGCCCGCTGAACCGCAGCCTCGCGGCATTGAGCCCAAACAAACCCGGAGGACCTCCAACCATGTCCCGATGTCTGTCTCATTTGATCCTCTTCCGCCTCTTTCTTCTTTCTCCTCTTGCATCTCACCCCCCCATAGAAAGGCCGATTATTAGATGGAAATATAGTTTTGCTGCAGTCATCACGGCCTCCGAGGCTCTGTTCTTGCGTTGCTCGTCTCGTTCCTATTTCATGGCTTTTTGTTTTCTTCATTCTTTTACCATCAATTGTTGATTCAGGCTCTGTCTCGTCCCTCCCCTTCACTTACAAGCCAAGCGTCCCAACTCCTCCCGTATCGCTATCGCACGCGTTAACCCGCGCCTTGTGGAGCGTTTTTTTCCTCTCGTTCGCTCCCTCTCGCGCAGGTCCGCTTTGTTTGGCGCTGTGCTCGCTCGTGCCTCATTGTACTGCCTACATTCCGTGGCTGTTTGCCTTGACCCAGCCAGAGGTACTTGTACATTTGCGCATTGCAGTGGCTGCTGAGACGTCCATTGGAACTGCCCACTGCAGCCTGAAGCGCATCGCCCTCGGATAACGTGCAAGTACCTCGACTTTTATCATCGGATCATGGCGCCCCAGCCTTGTGAGTCCTAAGCCTTCCAGCTTCTTTTCTGCTTCCTCTTCCCCTTCCTCCCTTCAACAACGTCCAATCCTCCCTCTCGGCCGTCTCGTCCGCATCGCATCGCTCCGCCATTTGCCGCGCCGCGTCACTTTTGCGATTGCGAGGTCATCGTCATCCGCTGCTCGGAAAATAAACGAGGCGCCATCGCCATCGCATCCGCCCACGCCTCGCTCCATTGCCTCGCAGCTTTTTACGCCCTCCCACCACAACACTCCTTCACGGCGATTCGAACCCGCGCCTCTCGGCTCCCAATTCCTCCTTCATCCTCGACGAACCGCGCCAACGATGCCTTCCAAGAGAAAACTGGTCTCCGAGGCTAACACTGAGCCAGCCAGCGTGCCGTCGACGCTGCCGCCCTCTGTCGAGGAAGCCTATCGCCGGAAGTGCGTCCAGCTCAAGAACCGCACCAACGAGGTCGAAGATGCCAACGACGCTGCCCGCCTCCGCCTCGCCCGCATAAAGCGCCAGGTCGAGAAGCTGAGGATAGAACGGGCCTTCTTGCTTGAGCAGCTGGCTAAGCGCACCAGCACAAACGTCGAAGATTCTGAAGGCAGCCCCAGCCCGCCTCCTACGGTATGCCTCCTAGCAAACTTCATTCAGTCTTTTCTACTTCTTTTTTTTTCGGTCTTTACGCTGCGCCATCCGGCCTGGCCAGACGTGATTCTTCTGGCTTCTTTTTTGACTCTCTCGCGCGTTGCTGCTGCTCCCCTTTCGCCCCCGTCTCCCCCCCAAACCTTTTTTCAGTGTTGATATTTGAGTGCAACGACAATAGGCAACCTCCTTCGATATCCCCAATGAGTCGAATGCTAACCCCCGAAAGCCCAAGGATAAGCCGCTACGCATTAAGAAGGGCCACCGGAAATCCAACGCCCCCGCGGACGCTGATGCCGACGCCGACGCCAAGGCTGGCTCCGCCAAGGAACCCACGTCCCCTGCCTCCGAGTCCAACAGCCAGGCCAAGCGCTCGCGCCCCAACGGCGTGGCCAAGTCTCCTCAAGCAAGCAAGACCCCTTTTGAACTGTACTGCGAGGAGGCTCGGCCTGTGCTCGAGGCCAAGGAGAGGGACGACAAGGACGAGGCCGAGGTGAACATCGACGAGGAACTCAAGCGTGACTGGGAGGAATTGCCAGAAGCCGAGAGGGAAGAGTGGCAGGCCAAGGCCGACCAGCTGAGCAAGGCACAGCAGGAGGAAGAGGACAAGGCCGCTGCTGAGGCTGAAAACAACGACAGCCCCAAGAAGAACAGCCCCAAGGCTGAGGCCGACACTGAGGCCGACCCTGAGGCTGAGGCAGAGGGTGACGCAGACCCTGAGCCAGAAGCTGAGAAGACTGAAGCCCATGATGAAGATGTTGAGATGAGCAACTATGACACGGAGGACCAGGAGACGCAGGATAAGGACGGCGATGATGAGAAAGATTAGAAAATGAGGAGCCGGCTACGCAACGGAGGCTGCGTGTCGGGACGGGAGACGGCAGACGGCAGACATGTGCGGAAGGCGTTTACTTTCCTTTTTTTTTTTTTTTTTTTCGGCAACAGGACACAGAGAGGTTTTTGATTTCGGGGTCTTTTTTGCTTTGGCAGTCAAGTCTTCCTTTGCTTCTTCTTTTCCTTCTATTTTTTCCACAGTAACTGTACGAGACATTTGTAATCTGGAAACAATCGGGGTGGACAATGTATACAAGGTAGCCAGGCCAAGTCTCCCCCCCTGAATTGAAATCACGGCGAATAGACCTTTCAATAATCTTCACCTTTTCTCACGATATGCCTAGTTCTCGAGAATCAAGAGGAGAAATCAATAGATGTCAAGAATATGATGAGCCTGTTGCGCTTTCATTCCAATCGTAGAAAAGAAAAAAAGGTAACTATATCAGACTTGGATTTCTTCCCAGCCATTGACGCCGCTCACCTCCCGTGATGCCATTCGCTCGACAAATCAGACCAAATACCCAAGGTATGGTAAAAAGAAAGGAAAAGAACAGAAAAAGAAGAGGAAAAAAGAAAGGAAACTCCGATTCTCCTTTACGCAAATCCCATGAACTTCATTTGTTCCCAACAATGACGGCGCGAATCCTCTGGACCATTAACTTCATTCAGATCTCCCCTGCGTACAAGTCGACTACAATATTGATCGCGGCCACCAGGATTTCCATGGCAATCAGAATGATAACTAAACAAGCTGGTCAGCAACCCACTGAATCCGCGCCGCCAGAAAAAAAGAACAAGGGAAAGTAGTGTGTGCAAAGGCGTAGAGTGAAACATACCAATCCATTCCAGCATTTCACCGTGGCCGTGCGTTAGCTGATCTTTCAAAACCGCCAGCAAATCAGCAATGACATCCAACCGCTCCGTGACCAGGCCGACTCGTTGATCCATCTCTAGATAGCTCCTGGCGGCTTGATAAAGGGGCTCCAGCTGGGGTTCGACCCAGAAGAGCTCCGGAGTATCCAGCACGGAGCCGTTGAGATGGATGTTGATTCTCAGGATGAAGAGCTCTCCGATTTGCATGTTGATCTGCTTCCGGTTCAAATTGATTTTACCCGTCAGGGCGATCTGAGTCGGAATGTCCTTGCAGGTCTCGATAGTAGAAGCGATGAGTTCTTCGAAAAGAGAAGTCTAGGAATCCCATTAGTCAACCGCACGCTTTACTACACCGCCCATTTCATTGTCACATCAAGTCCATCGTACCTTGACGCTCTGTGCCAAAGCATGGGAAATGGCGAGCTTGGTCATGTAATTGTTCTTGTCTCTCAGCGTGATAAAGTCGTTATAAATCCGCGCCTGGTATTCCCTGGTGTAATAAAAGTTGAACTGCTCCGTCTCGACATCATCAGGAGCCAGCTTCTCTAGCTCGAACTTGGCAATATCTTTCAAGAACTTGGCCTCTTGCGCCTCGGTCATGCCCCAGATGACCACCACGCCATAGTCAAACAAAAAGACTTCTGGCGTGTGGATCTGGATATCAAAGTCCGGTACGGAGTCCTTCATGGATGTATGCTCAGGCATAGAGGGACCTAACAGCTCTTCGCTAGGAAGTTCGCCAGCCTCCTCTCGACCAAGACCTTGGTCAATCATGAGGCCCTCGCCGTAGCCAGAGTCTTCTCGGTTATCGTTATGCAGAGATCTGAAATGATCTCTCTCAGCCTCGCCGTCCATTAGTTCGCTCCCTGTGGAGTGCCGTCGTTCAGGGGTATGCTCTGTAGTGCCATGATTACGCTCGGGCACCTCATGGTGTCGATGACTTTTGCCGTACATGTAGGGCGTGTAGATACACTCGTCGATGAGCTTGGGGTTCGCGCCGCGAGTCTTGCCTCGTCCTTTGAGGAACCTCATGAGCCCGTCCATCTCGTAGCGATTTGCGGTACAGTACGCGGTCACGCGCGGCAGTCGATCTCGGTCCGCCTTTCCAAGCCGTGCAGCATCTCTTCGCGCCGTCGGGTCTTTGATCCGGGTATACTGGGCGTAGACATCCCTCCCGCTTTCTTCGTCTTCATTCTCTTCTCCTAGATCTAGATTCGGCAGCAGCTTCAGCTTCTCCGTCTTCTTGGTGCTTCTTTGTGGGCCAATCTTGGGTAGCCCCTGTGCCGACGCAACGGGCATAAACCCCTGACTATTCCGCCTGCGAAGCTTGTTGTTCAAGGCCGCCAGCATCGGCGGGCCGGCGACAGCACTACCGCCGGCTTGATTGTTTACGTTATGGGAGGCATGGCTCCTTGGTAACCGCTGAGGCTCGGGCTCGATGGTTCGGCTGACGGGGTTCGCGCTAAAGGTCACGGTTCGTGTGGGCTTCGGCCGAGAGGCGTCGGACGAAGGTAGCAGGGGAGTCGTCTCTGCAGCGCCATGGTTCGCAGTATCGGAAGAATCCATCTCGAGTGCCGGCAGCTAGGAACTGGGGGCTCTGGAGTGGGAGACTTGGAGCCAAATCAAGGGCTGCCGCTCTTCTGAGCAATGACGCCGGGAGATGGCGTTCTATTGGCGAGACGGGTGTTTGACAGGCACAAGAAAAGTGACAGACTGCTACTCAAGGGGGTATTATCGCTTCGACATTGGAAAGACAGACGGCATTGGAGAGCGATTGAGTCGGTGAGGAAGGGATAGCCGTGATGAAGTTTGTGCAAAGCCGCGAGAAGTGCAGTTGCCCAGCAATTGCTGTTCGATGACGGAGTTCAGTCCAATTTTCCCAAGCCGGTTCGGGGGAGAAACGGTCTAGGCCCACTCGGGAATGAGGCCATACTGCGTGTGTTATGTAATCAGAAGCAATCCAGAAGGTTTGGAGGCTTTGGCAGGCATTTCAGCCACGCTGATTGGCAGAGACTGGAGCACGTCTGCTATGAAACTAAACTGAGCGCCCCACTAGAGCTTCGTGCAGGATCTGGGACGGAAACATGAGCAAACGGGCAATACCTACCTGTACATGGCGGGACTGCAACAATACATGGAAAGCTTAAGTACCTCTTCTCTTGCACATGAAGATGCACACAAGAAACCATCCATTCACTCATATCTAAGGTATCTAGATGAAGCAGTGGTTTGTCAGAGGCAGAATCATCATGTAGACTTCCAGAGTGCTGTGCTCATTTATACGGCAAATCTTCTTTCGACAGCGAACTTACAGCCTCAGCTGCAAGTAAGGTATGTATTTACAGCGCCAGAGCGTGCGAACAACTCGAACCGCGGCTTATCTTATGAAAGCACAACCTTCGGGCAGAGGCACCTTAAATACTGCCAATAGCTGATCCAATTCAGTGCGTTTCCCAAGCACTCACTTTCAGACCACACAGATGCTTTCGTGACATTTGTAAAAGCATTGGCTATACATGGATTCATGCTGGCTGCTTCCTCGCAGACAATTCCAGTACAGACACATGGCAGCTGACGCTCATTTGTCCTGTATTCGCGTCTCCATCCTGAAACCGCCATCATGGGCCCGGTCAACCAGGCCTTGCCCAAGGCAGCAGGGCGTATAAAAGCCTCCGTCTAACCCAAGGTCATCTTCCAGAATTGTCCGAGCGCCCTCACAGCAAAACATGGCCGTTACTGTAAACAAGTCAGGAGGTTGAAGACTCAGCAGACGGATCGATATGTTCCACTTACATGCATACATGCTGCCCTTGTACCAAGCTCGACAAAAGGCCTGCTTATCAGTCGGCGTCTCCGTATCGGGATTTGCTATGCCACGCCACTCGACCTCTTCTTTCTCCATCTCGTCTCTAGAGGGTCCTGTGCCAGCTTCTGGAACGATTCTTCGGAGAACCGCCCTGACAGGCCGCCCCGTAGCAACCAGCAACACGCCAATGACGATTGCCAGATGAATTATTACTCCGTGGAACCAATTGCGAGCCCTGTGGCATTCTGCCCAGTGAAAGTTCGGTCCATAGAACTCGTCCTTCCGGGAGGGGATGACCGACAGGAGTCCCCATGAGCGTTCTACTACTGCCTGGTCGGGAGTATTGGTAAGAGCAGTGGTGACGGTTCCCAGATTAGGCACGTAGTGAACACCAAGGATCTTTTGCTGGATGGAAACGCTGGGTCTTTTTGGCTCATTTGGGTGTGGCACAGGCGAGTGTGTAAAGGGCTTTCCAGCCTCTGCCAGCTCACTCACGGTGAAGTGGTCAAATAGAGTGAGGACAGTCGATATAGTGCCTCCGGATGGGGCCGCTCTATGTCAAAGCATTCAGTATGCACGCCCGAAAGGGAGAGGAAGGGAGATCCAACGAACCGCAAGTTGTGAATCGAGATTGTGACGTCTCTCGTCTTGACATCCATCTGCTTTCGAAGCGTGTTGGCCAAAGCCCACGTGCAGAGATCTGCCGGAGCAGACTCCAAGCCCATCTGGGGAATAAGAATGGCACCGCTCTCTCTGGCAGACTTTTCATACTTGCTGATCATCTTATACGTCCAGGGACTCTCGCCAGTAATGTCAAGGTAGTGTGTACCGGCTTCAGCGCATGCTCTTACAGCATGCTCTCCATGAGCGCTGTACGGGCCGACGGTCGTTATCAAGACGAATGTCCTCTTCACCAACGCGCTCATTTGCTCATCATCGTCCACACTCGCCATTTCAATTGCTGTTCATCGAGTTATCAAAAGTGCCCTTGGAAAATATGCTATGTTATAACGAGCGGGCTAGAGGCAATGGCTGTAGACAAACCTGGCGGGTCCCTGTCCGGATTCAGCTTCTTGCAGTCTTCAGCGACTGCCTGGAGCTTCGACTCGGAACGGCCTGCAATTGCCCACTTCGCATTGACCGGGAAGTTGGCGGTGATGTACTCAGCTGCCAAGCGGCCGGTGTAACCTACGATGCGCATGAGCATCGCCGTGCATCACATTCCCCCCCCAAATTCGAGATCACATACCGGTGGCCCCGAAGACGACCAAGTCATACTGGCGGTTGTGCTTCTTAAACGGCATTATGAGGTCAAGCGTTCTGTTGCAGGCCTGAGGACTGTGTCCTTGCAACGCTTAGGTGGCACGTCCAGTGGGCTGAATCACACAATCAGGGGGGAGGTTCCTGGCAGGGCCAAAGAATCGATGCAGATGGAGGAACGAGCGTGTTCATGAGGCTTCTGTCTACCAACTACGTACGCTGTGCAGAGTCCCCTAGCAGTAGAGTTATACTCGGATTACGTTGGTTAACTCTGCTCGGTAAACACAGTGATGCTATGACATTGATCGATGATACCTACAGCCTGCAAAACCGCTTGCAAGTGGTCGCAAACGATTGACTGATGAAACCATTCGCTCATGGCCAATGCCCGCTTGCCGCTAGTATTCCCCATCCGAACACACAAGAGTGGCTGCGGACAGTGGTGGGAAAGGTACGAGAGTACATGTCAATGATCAGTCACGTGGCAGGCCAAAGACTTATCGATAACCACATTGTGGAAGAAACCGGTGGTGGGGCTTCGCTTGGCCCATCGCTCACGTGCGTGCCCTAAGGAAAATCACAACTCCAGCTTTCCAGCACATTTTCGCGAGAGCAGCCTCCAACCGAAGTCAAGCATCCAAACATCCCCATCCCTACCACAAATCCGTCAAGATGACCAAGCGCACCAAGAAGGTCGGCGTGACGTACGTATACTCTCACGAAGGAACAGATGAACCAAGTCGACAATTGCTAACTTTCTCTCCAGCGGTAAATATGGTACCCGGTGAGTCTTGAAAAGCACATCCGCCTCCAATCCCATCTCGATATACCGATCCCGAGTCCGACGAACGAGTCTCCAATTGCATCTCCACGGCTTCTTCGATACTTGAAAAAAGAAACGCCAGCTATGATCACTGGCAGCGTCCATGACGGCGTCTTATGGCAACTCACAAGATCTGGATGCGACATAACTCGGGACCTCGAATATCAAAATCGGATTGGCAATCTCAGAATCGACTGGCAACTAATACGATGGCTTTAGTTACGGTGCCTCCCTGCGAAAGCAGGTGAAGAAGATGGAAATCACACAGCACGCCAAGTACACCTGCACCTTCTGCGGAAAGACCACCGTCCGAAGAAAGTCTGTCGGTATCTGGAACTGCCGTGCCTGCAACCGAACCATTGCTGGCGGTGCCTACACTGTTGCGTACGTCCGCCCACACAAACCCACGCAGCGCTTTCTCTCGAAAGCTTCTCACGAGCTCCCCCGCGAAGCGATCTGTTACTGACCTTGTTTTTTCCGTCTCAACAGCACACCCGCTGCCGCTGCCATGCGATCAACTCTGCGACGATTGAGGGAGATTGCTGAGGTTTAAGGTGTTTTCTTGGTAAAACGGTGAAGGATTCGGCTTTGCTTTTTCGGTCTGGTGTATGGGGGACATTGTTTGCGTGCATACACTACGAGTTGACGAAAAATGGACGTCGACGCTCGATCTTTGGTCATAGACACCGGTCGATAGGCAATGAAACCAAAAAATGGGAACTGCATTATCTCCGGACACCCGAACCGAGAATAACATGGTACCATCATCGATCCCAGCGCTTGGTGAAGGAAAATGAGGTGGTCAGAAATTGCGTGAGTCGGACTTGAACGGCCATGTGTCGCAGATCGAGGAGCAGTGAGTCAATCCATCAGGCAGCGCTGTCTTAGGGTCACGAGGATTCGCTCTGCGGCACTTTTCCACTGTATGCATTTGGCTTTCCATTGCGGCCATGGAAGCAACCTTGGGTTACTGGTTGGTAAGGCAGTGCCGTCTGCAGCATGACGGTACCCGTAACCGAGCGGCATGTACTTGATCACTTGGTCACAACACGTGAACCCCCAAGCGTGAGAATTTGATCTCGGGCGAGGTAATCGTGCCGGAACCCAGAGAAATATACTCCTCTTTCACGATCCGCGGTTCAATCAGCTGTGCCCCGAGACCGGTCACTGAGGGCAACAATATCGTTGACACGGGTACCTGAAGACTTCATAAAGTTACTGGCACGGTGCTCTGCCTCGCTCGTATCCATTCGCAAATCACAGCTCATGGGATCAATGACGACCCGGACAGCGAAAAAAGGATGAGTGGGGTTTCGGGACAAGAAAGCGGCACAGCGCTTCTCGGTCCAATGCAAGTGTCTCATACCTGGGTCTGCATCAAATGATTACGGGAGGTCCACAAGCTATGCTTCCTTTTGCTCGGCTCGAAACTTGTTTCTTTGCGTTCATGCTGAACGCCTTGTCATTCTATGCCACGGACGCACCATCAGTAATCGTAATATTACGAAAGACAAACAGCATCGTGTGCTGCAAGTTATCCAAGGTAGCTGTGATATTACGCCCCTTCCAGCAGAGAATCGTCGAGGGAGATGAGGGGCCAGTCCAGTCAGTCAAGGCCCGTCAAGTGACAAATGCAGGTCTGGTTCCTTGCATGTGCGGATGGGGGCACGCGTAAAGTGCCTTCTCTTGCTCTGCGAACAATATCTGTCTCTTCTTCCATTTTCCATAACAATTTGGCGAACTTCCCATTTGCTGATGCAGATATATAATTTTCTTCTCATGTATGCCGTCCTTTGGCTTTCACATGCCAGTACTAGTAGCTCATGGCATCGCATACAAAATGCGATATTCCAAGGTCTTTCTTAGCTCGTTCCTCAACTCGACGTACTCGTAATACCGAAAGAGAGGGCATCGGGAGGGCCCAAATCGTCCCAGCATTCATCACCCCGTCGAATCCCCCTCCTAACACCCCGCTTGGCCCTTTCAGCTTCCTCCCCCCGGCCCCCCTGACTGAACCCGATTCTCGCTCACCAGAAGCACCTTTGGTCTGTCCACATTGCATTCCATGCCTTCAAAATCAGCCAGCCTCTTTTTTCCTCTGCCTCCCTCTCTTTCTTCCGTCCATCTCGATATGCACTCCGAACGAAATATGTAATGTTCCATCCGTGTAGCACCTTGTGATATGGCACCTCTCCACACGCCGCCCTACCTGTACCACTTTGCGCTCGAAAGGTACCCAGGTAGCACGAAGCTACCATCACCTCAGCATCACGATTCATCAGAGATGCATTCCGCCATGCAGCTTCACGGCATCCGGCAGACTAGCAGCAGTAGCAGCACTGTGGTCAGGTCAGCCCAGCAGCAAAGCACCCCTTGTGGCCGCGTCCCTCTAGGACCAATTGCTGCGCCGTCATGTTCCGTCACCCACGAGGTTGCAGGCCGCGGCACGTGAGATTGGCGATGGAGCCCATTTCGCAGGCATCATCGCCCGTGATGTGTGTGTGTACTTCAAAGGTACCTCTGCGAAGTTCGTCGCTCTCTGTCTTGGGATACCTCATCTTCATTCTGTCTTCTTCCGCCTCAACACCATTTCGAGTATAACGACACGGTACCTTTGTTAACGAGCTGAACCGGGCCTTATACAAGGCAATGGGTATGAGTTTCCGCTCGCTTAGTATCAACTGTGTATGATTCATATGCCAGTGTGTAAGATATTACTGTCCCGCCCAAGGAGAACTGCAAGGAGCGCAGGAATGTGCCGGTTGACGACGATGGCGGACATTTCGGAGCACTGTACCTGGAACCAGCCGTACGTCGACTTCGTACCAAGTCTCCTCGTCGAGAGTACCTGCAGAGTACCTCATATCGCGCGCAATCTTTTCTCCTCTCCCCTCGCAAGGTCCACGGGTCAGTAAGGTACTATTAGTACCTGTACTACCTTACTACCTTATTTTCCCTTGGGTTTTCCGTTTCCGCTACGGGATGCTACTACTGTAGATACCTACCAAGGTAGAGGTCGGTCTTGCCTGAAAGTGTATCTGCAACACCGTGCCCGCCAAACAAAATCTTAGAACCTCGTGCCAGCTCTTGTCCTCTGCAGGCACCAAAGTCTAGCATTGCATCCCAGAAAGGTCCAACATCTTCCCTGATTGGACTTTTAAGCCTCTCAAACTCCCGAGGTAGTTGCCTACCTTACCTAAGGTAGCATATTGAGCACGTTGGATCGCTTCGGTGCCGAACGATTGATGGCTGATACGAGGTGTGACGTCCGCCACGAGGCAGAGAGAGGCCTCGCTTCTTACCTCTGCATGGCGTCGTAGATTCACACTTAAAAGAGATGACCTGTGGCGGTACCCGAAATCGTTAGTGCTCAAGTACCTGCTGGTACCTCTCAAGGTTCAACTCACAGAATCTTCAAGTCTGCGGTAGGACGCGGCAGAAAAAAAAAAGGAAGAGCAAGACGTGATCAAAGCCACTCCAAGACACTCCCAAAGATCCAAGGTACTTCTCCCTGCGCTCTTCAAGTGGTAGCCCAAACGCTCACGCATCACTACTTCGCCTTGTTGATCCTACCGCTTCTCTTCTCCAACTTCAAGTTCTCCAACACTCCAGTACTTCCCAGTACGCACAGCCGACGATAGCGCACGGAGTTGCCCCGACCCGGCTCACTCACTCACTCACACTCACTTCCTATTCAACTCTCGCCCACCCGCTCTCACGCCCATGCCGAGAAGATTCCCCTCGCCTCTACTGACTCCGTCTCTCTCTGTATCGTCCACCATCAATCTTCCGCCACCTTTTCCCCAGCGTCCAACAGCGGTTCCATTGACAGGCGTGGCGCCGCGAGCGCTGTGACTCGCCGATTGGCCCCGCCCCAGACCCCTAACAGGCCAGGCCAAGCGCTAGCCTCCAGTTTGCCAGAGCCCGCCTTTTCTGGGCTGTCTCTTAGCTGAACTCTCCCTCTTGCAATCCGAATCTCTCTTGGTGTCTTGTCTTGTCTCGTCACTCAACAGCGCCTTTGCAAGAAAAAAAAATTGCCTTTGCAGTAGAGGAGGGAAAAAAAAAGGCAGCCAGCAAGGTTCACGGCCGTTTGCTATCGACCCTCACAGGCTATTCTCCGGCTACGATTTACTGTACGTACCTCGCCTCACTCGCCTTCTTCCTGGCTGTGCGCGCCGCCATCTTTCTTCCTCTCTTCTCCAACCCTTCTTACCCGTGCAACCAGCTCGCCCACCTCAACCACTAACAGCATCCGTCATATTAGCCTTCCGTACCAAGAACCCAGTTTCTCTCGCCGCGGCACAACGCCACAACACCCGTCTTTTCCCACGTCTTCCAAGACACCTTGAATTTTTTCTGCTCCATCGGGCATCGTTGACTTTGTTGTCATTTTACATGTTTCCATCATTTCCTGGCGGCCATCACCACGACCGGCATCATGTCTGAGCCTGACCAGTGCATCATATGTTTGGATCCGCTGCCGCGCCCCTCGGCCTCGACTGACGGCGCCGTCGACTCCGCCGCAGATCCCATTGCTGAGGCCGTTGAGGGCGAGTCCAGCTGCCTCGACATCGTAGCCGCCCTCGATGGCTGCGATCACATCATCCACGATACCTGCATCCGGTCCTGGGCCCAAAAGACCAACACCTGCCCCATTTGCCGCAATCCATTTCACTCTGTCAAAGTCTACAACGGCGTAGACGGTAAGTACCTATAGCTCTCGCAACCCCTCTGTTTTCCCTCCCTGTCGACACAACGCGGGGGGGGTTTTTCACAAATGACATCGATGCAGCTGCTAATCAGGCTGGTAAATCTACAGGCATCGCCATTTCCACCTACGAAGTCGAGGACAAAAAGCAGGTTGCCGAGTTCGATGTGCAGCAGTGGCTTGGGGAGAACCCAGAAGAAGAGGAAGAAGAATCCAATCCATGCCCCATCTGCAACTCGGCAGAGCGAGAGGATATCCTCCTCCTCTGCGACGGCTGCGATGCAGCCTACCACACGCACTGCATCGGCCTCGACCACATCCCCGAGGGTGACTGGTTCTGCATGGAATGTGCCCATCTGAACCAGCCAAGTGAGGAGCAGCTAGAGTCGGAAGCTGCCGCAGAGACAGACCGTGCACCTTCAGGCGCTCGGCGTTCAACGACTCGAGCCCATCGAGGCTACCACGTTCGCACCCGTGCTCGTCTCAGGCGGGCACGCCGCCAAGCGCGCAACATTGAGTGGCAGGGCGCTTGGGGGCAGTTCTCTGGTCGCTTCTACGAGATGAGCGAGCTCGACCTCGATAACCATGACGACGAAGACGAGGATCTCGAGCGTTTCCGCAGGTTCCAGCAGCTGGATCGACGGGAGCTGCAGCGGTGGCAACAGCGAATCAGCATTGCACAGCGGCTTGGCGTGCAAGACTCCTTCGCAAGCAACATACCGCCACAGATTAGCGAACGCCTTCACCCCCCACCACCACCTGTCGAGGAGACGCGGGACGAGAGGCGCGCCTGGGGAGCATTGGACCGAGCTCGGGAGGTCGAGGCTTCCAGTCCCAGCACTCGCAAGAGAAAGGCCCGGTCTGCGACGGCCTCGCCCATCGAACAACCCGCCCAAGAACCCGAGAGAAAGCTCAAGCGTCCTCGAACCCGACGACTCCCCACGCACGGCGAAGGCTCTGCAGCAACTACACACCCGACAGCCGCCGGTCCGTCCTCGGCAAGACTGCCAAACGGAACTTCCTCAAGAAGCAACAATGTCAGCAGCGCCGGCCGAGATGAGAGTGAGCCGACCCTGGTCGTGTCTTCCCTGCTCAAAGAGCTGGAGCCAAACATTCACTCCGAAGACGAGGCATCCGGTGTGACCTCTGGTTGGCGCCCTTTCCACGAGGCATCATCGCCAGCTCTCTCCCCATCACCCTCCGCGTTCAGCAGTCCCCGGGCTCTTTCAATAACACCACCTCCCTTGCCCAATCTCAATGGACGTCCGTCGTCCCCAACCCTGTCTCTCAGCACGCACATCGAACCGGTATACCCGCCTGCTAATTACTCGCCCACCCGATTTAGCAGCAGCGACCACAGCGACTCGGAAGCGCCTCCCATCAAGCCGGAGCCTCGAAACGGCGGCCGACCCGAGAACAGTCTCGAGAGTCGGCCCCTTGAACTTCGCCAGCCTCGGCCTCGGCGTGCCCACGAGATGTCTCCAGAGTCGAGTCCGACGCGCGGTGGCGATGATAACTCGACGAGACACACAATGACGACGGAGGAGAAGAAGAGCGTCAATGACATTGTCCGCAACGCCCTGAGACCGCACTGGCGGGCCCAGAAGTTGACGGTGGAACAATATGCGACAATCAACCGTGATATCTCACGAAAGCTTTACGACGAAGTGAAGGACGCGTCCTCACTCGATGACGAATCTCGACGACAAACCTGGGAGAGGAGGGTCACCCAGGAGGTGGCCCGAGCAATCTCCGAACTGCAAGCCTGATCACGGGTGCACAGCAATAAGCATTTGGTCTGGCGTTTCAAGGCTTTTGTCGACGGTCCACATCATGGTTTGATACCCCCAGCCTCATTGACGGCAACGTGCATTTTAGTTAGGGACACCGAGGTGTAATAGGAGTCGGGTATTTTGTTTTGCAGTTCTTGTCATACTGGTGGCGCCTGTCGCCCATGCTACAGCGCATTGCGAGTCGTGCTTTGAATATGTATCGTACTGGTCATACATGTCTCTTGCCTTTCTGTGGGCGGATACTAGGGCTTTAGAGCTAGGTAGCTGAAAGAACAGTTCGAATGGTTTCGATGTCCGAATGCAGCGTTCGTGGCCAGAGATTGTGCACCTGAATGAAGAGATCTTAGCCAACAGGTCTGACGACTCAAGAGGAGCTTTACCGGCAATTTTCACACGAAAACCCCTGGCCGGTAACACCTCTGATGAGATTTGACGCCATCTTGTCTGCATTTGGCCGGTGATGGAGAAGATTGCGGTCTTGGTAGAGTAGTACCGATGAATATTGGATTTTTTTTCTATTCGATTCGCTATCACGGGTTATGGAAAGCATTGAACGTAAGAAACGAAAAAAAGGATGAAAGTGGATGTTTCATGGTCACAAAAGGGCGAGGTCGGAAAAACACTATGGAAAATCGCAGGAGGAACGAGTAACGAGGCAAAAAGGCGCAGAAAGGGAGCGGGGCTTTTTTTTTTTCCACGGGTGACGAGGATGTCAATTCAAAAGTCGGCAAAACAACAACAACAACAAGGCGAAGACTGGGGGGAAGGAATGTAAGCAGTATCTATCTAACAGAACCCAGTGGGAAAAGTTTGAAGAAGGTGCCGCTAGCGAAAAAGACTGCAATACTCTCTCTCGGCACACGAAAAATGATCAGGACGCTGTGGAGGTGGAACAGCAAGGTCTTGACGATAAGGAAATGGTGCCTTGAAGAGAAGAGGAAAAGGGAAAAAAAGGAAGAAAGAAGAGGGAAGGGGTGTTATGGGAAATACTATGACAGAAGATTTGTGTGGCCTGAGGCAGCAGAATTGGACCAGCCTGGTGGCAGAGCTTTTTGCGCTTACCTAAGGTAAGGGAGGGGACAGAAAAGATGAGCTGCATTCAGCAACTGAAGTTGCTCGATTATGTAACTCACGCAGTTTAAGAAGTTCCAGTTGCAGTGGTTTCCCAGGTGCTTGGTGGGGTTGAGGTACGTACCGCCGCTGGACGGAAGAACCAGGCCACCAAAAAAGTTCGAGGTGCAAGACATCGCGGTCAAAAGAGTTTCGGGTGGTTTTTGGCTCGGCATTTCTTGTTGTCTGCGAGCAGCAGAATACCGCCATGATGGCAGCCTCAAGTAGAGGCAGCAGAGCCGTTCGCGGCATCTTCTCATGTGAGTCAATTCCCAGCAGTAGTCGACCTCTGCGGCCGCCAATTGGGGCGGGCAATGGCATTTCACACGAGAGAGAGAGAAAGAACCAGAAGAAACTGACCCAAGATGCCCGCATATACAACAGCATCCACGCTGTGCTCCCGATGCGCAACCACATACAGCGCAGGGACAGCAGCAGCAATAGCAGCATCTCCCCGCTTCTACTCTGCAGCCGCCGCCACCACGACGACAGAAGCAGCCGTTTCCAGCACGCCTTCTCCTCCGCCGGCTACGGCGACGACCTCCACCAAGACGACGACGACGACGACGACGACGCCGTACCCGTACGACATCCGCTCCGGCCTCATCCTCACGCGGCCGCCGCTCCTGACGCGGACGCTGCACCCGTTCGAGAACGCCTTCTTCTTCTACCAGAAGCGCCTGGAGGAGCGCCTCAACACGCCCTTCATCACGAGCATATACTTCAAGCCCGACACGGCGGCCCAGCTCGACTGGAGCATCAAGGTGCAGGAGCGCGGCGGCACCGTCGCCAAGGAGCTGGGCACGTACCACGGCAAGAGCTCGCGCGCGTGGGACGACGAGCTGCGCGTCGGCGACCCGCTGAGCGCGCGCGAGACGGTGCTCGAGAGCCTGCTGCGGGACGCGGCGCCGAGGGTGAGCGACGACGCCGAGGTGATTGCGCCCGAGGACGTGGTGCCCGTCGAGAGGCCTGCGGAGAGGATCTCGGAGGCGGACCGCAAGGGGGATGTCAGGAGGCTGGATCGGCAGATGGAGAGGACGCTTTATCGGAGGGGTGGGGGTTCCCGGCTGATGTCTTGCAGGATGAGAATCTTCACGAGGTAAATATTTTTTTCTGGCCTGCTTACTTGGGTGAGGAGGTCATGGCTAATTTGTGTGAAATATAACAGGCCGCAAAGAGAGTGCTCGACCAAGCCGCGGGCGTCAACATGAACACATGGCTCGTCGGCCGCGTCCCCGTCGCGCACCTCGTCCAGGAGCCCGTCCTCGGCGCCGACGGAACCGTCCAGAAGAGGGGCCGCAAGACCTTCTTCCTCAAGGGCCGCATCATGGCCGGCCAGGCGGACCTCAAGGGCAACCCGTTTGGCTACACGGACTTTAAGTGGCTGACGCGGGAGGAGCTGGAGAAGGAGCTTGCGCCCGAGTACTTTAAGGGGGTGAGGAATATGATGGCTGACAGGTAAAAAGAGAAAGGGTAGGGGGTGGTTTGGGTGTGATGATATAACATACATATAAAAAGATGATGAATGGATGGGGGACTTGTAACATTAGGGATTTGTATAATGTACCTTATTATACAATGCTTTGCGGCGGCTGATGGATGTGTATATTCACAGGCCTTTGTTTCAATATCTCTTGGATTGTGAAGTCGACCGCCGTTCAAAGTACATGAACTCGAAAAGAGACCCCGAGATATCTTAGTCTACAATTCTCTGAGCCGGCTTCCATATCTCTCCCGTTGTCATCATAGGCCCCTACTTCGTATCACTTGATCTCGGACCATGTGCACAAACAACGAGAAACAATCCCGAGCATCAGAAGGGCAATGACGGCCAAAACATTGGTGATATGATTTCCCCCCGCGTCAAGCCTCCTCCACCTCAAACTTGATACAGAGAGTCTGGTATCAAACGGAGCTACTATATCACGCCCAATTCTCGTTTTTTTTTAAATCTTGCCCCAATTTAGCCAGCATCGTTCCCTTCATACAAAGTTCATACAAAGTGACAGCAATCGTTAACCGGCCTTCCAGAAAGAAAAGAAGAAGAAAAAAAGCACATGGGTGACCGCTTGTTCCCAACGCCTGTACTCCGCTGTCCGCTTTCCGCTTTCCGATATTCCACAGTTGTCATATACCCGCTACGGTAGTCCTATGTTCAGCCTCAACCAGCGTTAACCGTACTTGTTTCATGACCCGGGCTTAGTTTGGCTTGGCCTGGCCCTCGACAAAGTTGAGGGCATCCTCCGTGCTGACGCAGTTGATCGAACTCGTCTTGTTACGGAACGTGACGCCGTAGCACTTGTCTGCAATATGAACAATCTCGGGTCGGAAAGTGGTGCAAATGAACTGCGTGCCGGCCTCGTTGGAGATGGACTCGAGCAGCGAGGCAACGGCGGTTCGGTACTGCGCGTCCAAATTGGCGTCGACCTCGTCAAAGATGACCATGGGGCTGCTTTCGGTTTGCTGCAGCGCAAAGATGAGGCAGAGAGCGCACAAACCTAGAAAGTGAGCACGCGGTTAGCAATCAACAGATAAGTTTGGGGTCTGCCTGCACTGTGGACTTACTCTTTTGACCACCACTGAGCTGCTGAATCTTTTGCTGCTCATCGAGATGCTTCGAGTTGAAAGAGACGCTGATACCAACACCAATGTAGTTCTCGACACTGCCCCGTGCCTCTTCGTCTGATTCCTCGGGTTCCTGACGACGATCTGTCTTCCTCTGGATGACCAGACGGCCGTGGCCGGCCGGCACAAGCTTGCTGAAGATGGTGGTAAACTCCTTGGACACCTGCTTGAAGGTACGCTCAATGGCCTCGTCCTTCCGCCGGTCGAGGTGCTCCACGAGCTCTTCGATGGAGCCTTGGGAATCATCCAGCTCTTTCCGGCGCTTCATCAACTGCTCTTGCTGCGTTGTAAAATTGTTGTACTGTTCAAAGGCCTTTTTGTTGACGTGTTTGTACTTTTTCAGTGCCTCGTTGACCCTTTTCAGTTTTGACGCAATCTAGTGAACAGTTAGTTGGCTTCCGTCTTTACCAGGAGAGACAGAGAAACAGGGCGATGCAAAGACTTACCGTGTTGGCCTGCATATTCTCGTACTTGTCGAAGGCCTCCTCGGGCAAGACTCCCAGCTCCCGAATGTTCTTGGCGCATTCCGCAGCCTGAGCGGTCAACAGAGCTTTTCGCTGCAGCGTCTTCTCCATCCTCTTCTGTTGTTTCTCGATTCTCTGGGAGATTTCCAGCTGGGTCTGCTCACGGTGGAGTTTTTCAGACTCGAGCTGTTCCAGGCGAGAGTTGAGCTCGTCAATCTGAGCCTCGGTCTGGCTCAAGTCGGCCTCGACAGCCTTCAGAGCCTTCTGCGCCTTCTTCAACTCTCTCTCGGCCTCCTTAAGGCCACCGGACGCACCACCAACCGCTGAGTTCTCAAAGGCCTGGCTGTTGAGCTGGTCCAGCTTCATTTGAAGATTTTGCCGCAGGTCAATCTCCAGCAGCTGCTTCTGTCTTTCCAGGCCTCTGCGCGTGTTGCTAAGCTCGTTCCACTGCTTCTGCAACTCCTGGACTGCGCGGCTTGATCCTTCGAGCTCGCGCTCCTCGGCGGCTGTAAGCGTCTTCTTGAATTCGGTGCCCAATTCGGCCTCGTGAGCTGCAACTTCCTCCAAGAATCCATTCATGTTCTTTTCGACCGCATCTCGCCTCCTGATAGCCGCCTCGAGACGGTTCCTCTCGTTTTCAATGTGGGCTGACCTGCTTCGAAGCTCGTGCTTGAGCGGCTCGAAGCCGTCTTCAGCCTGTCGGAGCCTCTGCTCGAGCTTCTGAACTTCAGACATTGCAGCCGTAATCTCCTGATCCTTGAGCTCGATCTGTCTCCGAATGTTGCGAGACTGTTCAGTCAGCCGCTCGTACTCCTCCCTCCATTTGTTAGCAGCCTGCACGGCTTCCAGGCGTGACTTTCGGGGGTCGATATAACCTCCGGTCATGGCACCTCGCTTGTTGGTAGTGTCACCTTCTGCGGTGATACCATCCACTCCGTGACTCCTGGCATACTGCGCAGCCACAGCAAGGTTGGGGCATACAACGACCTTTCCGAAAACCTGCTGGAAGGCCTTCTCAAACTTGGCGTCGTACTTGATCTTGTTCAGAAGGGGGACTGCGTCATTGGAGTTTGGAAAGTTCACTTTGCGAGGGCGGAGCTGGGCCAGCGGCATGAACGTGACTCGGCCACCGTGCTGCTTGTACATGGTGTCCGCGAGATAGGTAGCAGTGTCGGCGTTGTCCACGACATAGTGGAACAAGCTGGCGCCGGCAATCTGCTCGACGGGCAGTCGATATGCATCGCTGACATCCAGCAGATCTGCCAGCGTCCCGTAGGCGCCGGGAATATCCTGTTCCTGCTTCAGCCGGCGAATGGTAGCCAAACCGCGAGCGGTAGCCCCATCCACTGCCTGGGCCAATTCTCGCTCAGCCTGCTCCTTCTCTTGCCGGGCGTTGGAGATGACCGAGTTCAGTTTGTCGTCCTCTCGGCGGATCAGCTTTCGTTCGTCGTTCAACTTGTCCAGCGTCGCGCGGGCCCGGGCGGCTTGGTCCACGACCTCGCCCCTGTCGCCACTCCAGTTGGCCAAACGCGAGCGCAGTTCTGCAACCTCTCTCTCGCCCTGCTCGATTGCGCTCTGGATTCTGGTCACCTCCTCGTCAGCATCCAGCTTGTTTGCTTTCTGGGTGCTGATGGTCAGGTTGAGTTCCTGGATTTCTTGCTTGAGCCAGGCATCGCGCTCAGCCCTGTTCTTGAACCTGGAGCCGCGGCTCTGCTTTGCAAAGAGGCGTGATCGCGACGCCTCGAGAGCATCCAGCTGCCTCCTGGCTTCATCTTCTTGCTTCTTTGCCTCGTTGTATTGGGGGAGGAGCTGGGCCAGGTCTTTTTCCTTGGTCTTGATTTCTTTCTGCACAGAGGCAAGTTCAGATGCATGCTGCGCTCGGGCTTGTTCCAGCGCAGACTGTCCTTCCCTCAGGTTCTTCACCTTGAGCTCCACCTTGGCCAGCAGCTTCGCATTGTCACGTCTATCCTCTTCCTGCTGGCGTCGGTCAATCTGCAGAAGCTCCAGCTCTCTCTGCAGCTTGTGGATTTCGGCGTCGATCTTGGAGATTGCCTTTTCTCCTGCCAGGAACTGCGCGCGGCTCGAATCTGTGCTTTCCAGGCCGTCTTGTCTGGCATTGTCGATTTCTTCGAGGGCCTGCTGGACCGTAGTTTGCTCTCGGTGGTGGTAGGCGTATTCCAGACATCTCCTCTCTCGGTCCTTTTCCTGGAAGCTTCGCAGCTCTTCCTTTTCCTCTTCGAGCTCTGCCAATCTCTCTTTGATATACTCGAGAAGTTCGTCAATCTTTTCTCGCTTGTTGTTCGTCTCCGTCATGATCTTGAGGGACTCGGCGCGGCGGGCTTCGTAGACTTGCGTACCCGCAACTTCCTTGAGCAAGTTCAACCGCTCAGACTCCTTCATGTTTGTCAAAGCGGTGACGCGACCCTGGGGGACAATATAGTACGGGTTAGAGCGTGAGAAGCCTGCCGCCTCCAGCAGGTTTGTGACATCTGTCTTGGTCACGACCTTGCGGTCGACGGAGTATTCGTCCTTCTTCAGGCCGATGGTGCGTCGCAGCACGACTTCCTTGCCTCCGGTCGGGAATCGGTCGTCGCTGTTGTCAAAGATGATCTCGACATACGCCGACATGACGGCTGAGCCCGAGCCTTCGTGGAGAAGACCCTGGCGCTCTTCACGGCTCATCTGCGTGTATGCGTCGCTGAGGACGAAGCGCATCGCCGCGAAGAAGTTACTCTTTCCGGATCCATTGCGGCCGACGATGACGTTGGTCTTGGGGGAGAAGGGCTCGATGACCGTCTGGTCCTTGTAGCTGTTCAGGGTCCGTCAGCACACGGGCTCTCTCTGTCTCTCTCTCTCTCTCTCATAAACAATGGCGGGGTTGCGCTGCGGCACCTTTTGAAGCCTTGGATGATGATTTGCTTGATATACATGGTCGGCAGCGCGGGCGCCGATGCGCGACATCCGAGAGGCCAGAGAGCTGCAGGCTTGGGCTTTTCTGCCGCGGGTTGCGCAAATTCAGCAGAGGGCAGAAGTTGTGATATGCGATGCGACGCGTCTTTGTCCGGCCCGCGATTACCTTAACGCAGAGACTTGCTGGAGTCGCGTTGCACCAGCCCATCTGAGAGTAGCGCCTAAAATATCAGGTGTCGAACTGTGCAGGTACATGTACATGTGCCTCGGCGCTGTTGGCGTCTGCAGGTTCTCGTGGGTCTACCCTACAGCTCAGCGATTGATCACGGGAAATATCATGAGCAGCAGCTCTCTTCTGACTCTATTTGGTTCTCTTGAGGCTCTGGGGCGTAATCGTCTTATACTTGAGATGAATTGGCCTTGGAGAAATGTAGGATTTATTACGAGACACCCAACACGTAAACTTCATGCTCATTACTTACGTATGAGCCGCATCAATGTCGCAGCGAAGCTCGATCATGAATACTATCAAGGCAGTCCGATGCCTCCATAGTCCCTGCTCAAAGAGCGTGGGTAATCACTGAAAATGAAAGCTGGCTGCACCATATAACAGCCTGGAAACTGCAGAGGTATTGCGAAGCAACATCGCAGTGCGGGAGCTACCCTTGTAAGTTCACAGCTGGCACAGGGCACCGACGTAGTATTCAGATCCGAGGATACTGACGTCGACTAACGACACGACACACGGCAACAAACTGTAGTAAACTGCGAGTAAAGGTACCATTTAGGTTGTACTCGCTCAACCGCTCACTCTCATTCCTCCTTCATCTCCGCTTGCGTCTTCACGATAGTAACACCATCGCACGCGACGCCAGGCCATGACGGACAATCGTGCATAACGGATCGTCATGGGCGGGTCGAATTGCAGAAACCAAGTGACCGCGAGTCAAACAAGCTGGGGATCGCTGGCGTGTGTCGGACCAACCACTGCTGCGCAGCAGGGACAATAGCGTCTCACGGCAATTTTAGATTACGGCCAAACGGGTCGATCTGGACAAGCCAGATCTGGCCTGCACCCAACCAACCCGGGCCATTTCTTGTCTTGAAGGAGGAAAAATTTTGCGACATGCCATGTCAGGGGCGGCGCGTTTGAGAAGATTATACAGGGTGCCTTGTGCTACGTGGGAGGAGAATGACACTCGAGGAAGAGTGGACAATGGTTTCCCATCCTGCTGCTGCCTTCATTGGAGGAACAAACAGACCACATCATCTGGGAGCCCATCTTCTTGGTCGTTGCCTGAAGCCGGAAGCCGGTGACTCTTCATCGTACCCGTCAGACTGCCGAGCGCGTCGCAGCCAACGCAGCTCTAGTCGATAGTTACTAGATACGTACAAGTTGTGTACTTTGCATGGAAGGGAGAAGGAACAAAAGGAAGCTTGGAACATGGATAGGCAGGTATGAAGGATCCGACATTTGCCGGGGTCAGCATCTGGCCTGTTCTGTTTGCTGCGCTCACGATAGCGCCGCCGACTTCTCCATGCCCTCGTCCACAGGCCGTTGCCATCGTGGACATCAGCACTGTAATATCCGTCATCACTGTTTGTTGTGTCTTCAAGAATCGCTCGCATATATCGGCGACAAATCTGCATCCTGATCGTCCCAAGTGCGCCAGCGCCATCCCAACTGCGCAGCTGCAGTGGCACTTGATAGCGGCGGCTGATACATCGATAGCAGCTGGCTGCGTCACAATCAGCACGTTGCAGCACAGTGGTTGCATCGAGATTCTGACGCGCCCTGTCAAGATGGTTTGTTTTCGAACCCGTAAGAAGCGTGGCGTGCTGCCTGAAAGCTGCCGGGCTGGGCTCAGTTGCTCTCTGACCTCCAATGGGCAGCAGCAGCATTTCAGCCGGCATACTGCCGCATCTTGAGATGCACTTCCATGCAGCGAGATTCCACGGTGCCTGTACGAGTACCTTGCTTGTCGACCTGACCTGGCCAAGCAACACCTTTGTTTGCTCCGTACGAGCCGCGGCTAATCGCGCAGGAGAGACAGACAAAATGAAGGCCAACGCGACATTTGTTCTTGCTGCTCTTGCTACAAGGTACAAGAACATGGAAGAAGGCAAAGGCTCACGAGTCGGGAGTGACAGCTACTACCACGGCGTGGACAAGGTACACTCTACCATAGCATCATGATGGATGTAACGGCAAGCGCAAGTACACGAGACTCGTGCCTGGATCCAGCCAGTGATCGATGCGCTCCCAGCTTTGGAAAATGGGGGACGAGGGCCCCGCTTGGTGCGCGCTAGCGAGGCTTTAGGGACATTAAGCGAGACGCCGTTGGTCGCTGGGACGGCGCAGCGTGTATAAAAATACAGGCATAGACATATAGAAAGCCCGGCCTGCCCTCCACTCAATTCTCCCCGTCCAGCCCTGCCCGACCATAGTCGCATCCAGCAAACCCGCGCCCTCGCCAGAGCACAAACCCGAACCGCAGCGCAGGCAGACGGGCGCCACTCACTGGCCAGCGCTGCATTGCTACGTGTCAGCGCTGCTCGGGCTCTGCCACCGCTGAACACGGCTGATACCTGCTGTTTTGTCACCAAGGCATCCCAGCCGACCTTGCCTTGTCTTGCACGCGCTGACTGATCCGTCCATTTACTGGTGCTCTGTCCTTCGGTCATTGATTGATTGACAGCCCAGTCAGTTGAGTGCACGGCTACTGCTGCATTTGACCTTGAGTGTCTGGTACCTCACGCACCTGGTGCCAGCAGTTAAGGTACCTTGTGCCTCGCACCCCCGGCTGCGTCTTTCCAGGTACCGCCCATCCCGCTCTCTGTGCTTTCCCGCGCCGTTATTGGCGTGTTTGGTTATATCCAGCGGATCCCCCCAAATCCAGTTGCGCAGTGCATGCGCTCATTGGAAGCTGCACGAACCACCACCTCTGAGAGCTCTTTGCAGTACCTGAATTGACAGGCACCCACGCCAGCTTTGGTACATCACAGCTGAGGCCGTAACATTTGCTAACGATCGCATCGCAGTCGCATCACGTCGCTTTTCCAGTCACTGCTGTCAAGCTGTTTGGCTGCACTGCTGTCCTTTCGGTGCATCTCACTGCGTCGCCTGGACTCTCTCACTGAGCACACCGGCGCTGTCTCTCACAGGCAAGTACCTTTTACCTTTCTTCTGTCCTCTCTGTTGTTTTGATGAGGTCAGGTACCCTGTTGGTCTGATTACGCCATTTCCATCTCACTTCACCCATCCCTGTCGCCCTAGCACATCACAATGTACCTGGTACAAGCACCCGCCTTATCTTATCCGTCGTCTTCATGCGAGCATCATCGTCAACTTCATGAAGAGCATGCCTTCTGTTGCAATTCGTCTGCTGTTCTTCCTCGATGCACTCCATGTCATTATTCTATCTTCCATGGCACGACTATATTTCCTTCCAACACCCCGAAAATGGACGAATCCGAGCCTTGCATCACGCTGGATGCGCCTCACCAGCATCCCTATGAAATTTGGTGCCCTGTCGCAGTCCTGCAGCTGATGAACGCTGCTTCCATTCTCTTCATCACTTCCCTCCCCCAGTCTTGATGCACAAAACCTCCGGCAACAGCATCTCTTCCACGTGCGCCTGACGCGCTGCACATCCGGTCAAGCGGTCCGCCTGAACTGGCAGCCAGCTGCACTCTTTATCCCCCTCTGCAGCAACAGCTCTATTTAAGCTCAGATCCTGCACGCTCTGCCAGAATCTCACTCTTGCCTCATCACCCATCTCACTTCAGGATCGAAACATTGTCCTGCGAGCGCGCTAACCAACTCAACAGAGCCTTCAACCGATTATGCCATGAGCCCCAAACTACCTTTTACATACTCCCTTGACAATACACGACGACGCTATGGCCTCTAGGTATGTTCCGCCTTCACTCATCCCCTTTGATAATATGGCCAGCAGCTAACTGTAGGTGTTGGCAGACTTGAACGATTAGTTACGTAGGTACTCCCTCTCCTCTTGTTCTCCAGTCTTCGGATTAATCCCAAGGTTACACACCACAAGTTTCGCGTCCTCTTGCAGCTAACAAGTTCCCTTAGCATCCTCGAGACGGGGAGCACAAGGCTCATTCGGGACACAGCTGTCAACCAGCTTGCCGACTGGCAAAAGCAACACCCCGATGAGCTATTCAATCTCCTCTCACGGGTCATCCCGTATCTCCGCTTCAAAGACTGGGAGACGAGACAGACGGCAGCCAAAGCGATTGGTAAAATCCTAGAAAATGCCCCTCTCTACGATCCCAACGCGGGAGATGCGCCGAATGAGCCTAAAAAGGAAGAGACCTCACCCGAAAACGGCACAATCAAGAAAGAGGAGGATACTAGGGCGTCTTCCATTCTTTCCGATGACGACGTCTTCAGGTTCGAGACGCTTGATGTCGACAACATCCTCAAGTTCGGACGACCGCTCCTACGGGGTGGTGGCATCGAGTACAATCTTGCCTCCCTCGACCCTCAAGCCCGTCTAGCATACCAGAAGAAAACGCTTCTGGGTCGGTTGGGCTTACTCGGGAGAAGATTTGAGGATGAAGAAATCATTGTAGGAGATGGAGTCCCAAAGACACCACTTGATGCACCTAATGGCGGCGGCATGATCAAATCCGAGAACCCACAGTCCCAGGGTCTACCGACGGAAGAGTCTCAACTGAGCTCGAGGCAGCTCAATGTTTTGAAGCGTAAACGGAAGAAGGAGGCGATGAAAGCGCAGGGGAAAGGCGGTTTCGGAGATCTCTCATTGCGACGAACGACGACTGCTGGATCCGAAGGATTCGGCGACGACTCTCCCATGGAGCCTGACTCTAAGAAGAACGGAAAAGTGAACGACTACTTCAACCTCGATCGTCCCGCCGACATTGACGAAGACGCGAAAGTCGTCAGTGAATTCAAAGGGCAGGTCATGCCGATCGGCTCCGAGCTCGAAGCTGAGGAGTCCCTAGAAGGCGCTGAGTGGCCATTTGAGCGACTCTGCGACTTCCTCAAGGTCGATCTCTTTGATTCTGCGTGGGAAACGCGACACGGAGCCGCCATGGGACTGCGAGAGGTCCTCCGAGTCCACGGCGGCGGCGCCGGCAGAGTTCGGGGCAAGTCAGTCGAGGAAAACAATGAGCTCAATCGCGTATGGCTCAACGATGTTGCCTGCAGACTCTGCTGCGTCCTGATGCTGGACCGCTTTACCGACTACAGCTCTGACACGTCCGTTGCGCCAATCAGAGAGACCATTGGCCAGACTCTTGGTGCCGTCCTCAAGCATGTGCCACCTAGCTCCGTCTACGACATCTACAGAGTCCTGTACCGAATGGTCATGCATGAAGATTTTCAGCTTGACCAACCGATTTGGGCCGTCTGTCATGGCGGCATGATCGGGCTGAGATACGTCGTTGCAGTCAGAAAGGACCTCTTGCTTCAGGACGGAGACATAATTGATGGAGTCATCAAGGCGGTAATGAAGGGCCTGGCGGACCGTGACGACGACGTTCGCTCTGTCAGTGCGGCCACTTTGATACCAATGGCACAAGAATTCGTCACGATGCGGCCACAAGCCCTCGATGGCCTCACCAACATCGTGTGGGAGAGCCTGTCCAACCTGGGTGATGATTTGAGCGCCAGCACAGGCCGTATCATGGATCTTCTCGCTACGCTCTGCAGCTTCCCCCAAGTTCTCGAATCCATGAAGACGTCTGCTGCCGAAGACGAAGAGCGATCCTTCACTCTACTGGTTCCCCGCCTCTATCCGTTTTTGCGACACACCATCACTTCTGTCCGCCTTGCTGTACTGAAAGCTCTTTTGACTTTCGCGAACCTTGGTGATGAGACATCCCAGGGCTGGCTCAATGGCAGAATTCTCCGCCTCATCTTCCAGAACGTCCTTGTTGAACGGGATAAGGAAACGCTTGACATGTCGTTGGAGCTGTGGGCTGCCTTGGTCCGCTCATTGGCCAAGAATCCCGCCGTCCTCGCCGACGAATTCGCTCCTCACATTGACCCCTTGATGAAGCTGACTCTGCACCCGATTGGCGTGTCCCGGCATCCGATCCCCATGCACGCCGGCCTTTTCCAGAAGCCATCGGGGGGCACCTACTCGGCCCCAGGCCCAGCACCGTCTGGTAGGCGACTTTCCTCGCCCGAGGGCGCTGAGAGGCCGGTGAAGCGCCGTCGGAAATCCACCAAGGTCGAGGAGGTCACCCCGGCCAACTTGACGCACGACGTCGACGGCCACATGATGCAAGGCGACGTTGATCTGGTTGGCCTAGACATCCTGATTCGGTCAAGAGTCTCGGCTGCCAAAGCCATGGGCCTCATCATGTCTTTGGTGCCGTCAGCGAACCTCGATGACTACGACGCCCTACTTGTTCCTGGCCTTACCTCCGCTTTCTCCTCTACGCAGCTGACCGCCTGTCTTGTCATCGACGAGTTTGCGAGGAACTGCCAAAACGCCGAGGATCCCGCCCGCTACCTGGAGCACCTGCAGCGGATCGTAGAGTCAGAGCGGCCTTCGGCTTACAGGGACCTGGTGACATTTGTCCAGAGAGCCAGGAGTCAATGCCAACAGTTGCTTCACCTGTTCCGAGACCATGGGAAGGTCTCTCATAGCAAGTTGCCTACCCTTCCTGTCGTGGTTCAGGGTGAGGCCGAAGCCGGCCCCAGTGCCTTTTCTATTGCCACCGCTGAAAAGTGTGTGGGCGAGGATTTCGAAAGGTTGCGAAAGATTATGCCTCCCGGTCAAAAGTTGATCGCTGGCCAGCAGCTGGATGAGGCCCGGGAAGATACATTATCGGCTATCCGGGAGGCCAAGGCATTCAAGGAGGCCCGCGACGTCCGGATCAAGGCAGGCGCTGCTTGTGCCATGGTCGCAATGAAGCTGTTGCCGAAGAAGCCCAGCCCCCTCATCAAGAGCATTATGGATTCTATCAAGACCGAAGAAAACCATCTACTTCAGAGCCGCTCGGCGGAAACCATTGCAAAGCTTGTGCAGCTCTTTACGGAGAAGGGAAGGCGTAATCCCGCAGAAAAAGTGGTTGCCAACCTGGTCAAGTTCTCCTGCGTCGAGGTGGCAGAAACTCCCGAGTTCCCCGTCCACGCCAGCAAGACCAACTGCATCCTCTCCATGCAAAAGGAAGAGGATCGTGTCGACCATCCAGACGCCGCCAAGTGGGCAAGGGAAGCCAAGGCCGCTCGAATCACTCGCAGGGGAGCCAAGGAAGCTCTGGAGATACTGTCCAAGACTTACGGCGCAGCCTTGTTCGAGGCCGTGCCAAGCTTGCAGGGCTTCATGCGGGATGCCCTTGTCAAGGCCTTTTCAGGGGACCTGCCCGCGGAAGCTCGGGACCCTGAGCAGACGTTTGGCCAGGAGATTGTCGACGCCTTGTCGCTCATTCGGACGATGACGCCCACCCTGCACAAGGACCTTCATCCGTTTGTCATGGAGATGATGCTTCTTGTCATCAAGGCTCTGCAATCCGATCTCTCGGTTTTCCGCTACATGGCCGCCAAGTGCCTGGCCACCATCTGCAGTGTCATCACGGTGGAGGGAATGACGGCGCTCGTAGAAAAGGTCCTACCGTCAATTTCCAACCCGCTTGACCTCAAGGTCCGCCAGGGAGTCATCGAGGCCATCTATCATCTCATTGCCGTCATGGGAGACGCGATTCTTCCATACGTCATCTTCCTGATTGTGCCCGTCCTTGGCCGAATGAGCGATTCTGACAATGAGATTCGTCTCATCGCTACCACGTCTTTCGCCACGCTTGTCAAGCTGGTCCCTCTGGAGGCCGGCATTCCCGACCCCCCCGGCTTGTCCGAAGAGCTGCTGAAGGGACGGGATCGAGAACGGACGTTTATTGCTCAGCTCCTCGATCCAAAGAAGGTTGAGCCGTTCCAGATCCCTGTGGCAATCAAGGCGGAACTTCGATCATACCAGCAAGAAGGCGTTAACTGGCTGCATTTTCTCAACAAGTACCACCTCCACGGCATTCTCTGCGACGACATGGGACTCGGAAAGACGCTGCAGACCATCTGCATCGTTGCTAGTGATCATCACCAACGACAAGAGGAGTTCGCCAAAACGCAGGCCCCCGACGTGAGACGGCTGCCATCTCTAATTGTATGCCCCCCGACACTGTCGGGACACTGGCAGCAGGAGATCAAAACTTATGCTCCTTTCCTCAGCGTCACTGCATACGTTGGGCCGCCAGCTGAGCGTAAAGCCATGAAGGATAAACTCGGCGATACCGACATCGTTATTACATCGTATGACGTGACGAGGAACGACTCGGATGTGCTCGAGAAACACAGCTGGAACTACGTTGTGCTGGACGAGGGTCACTTGATCAAGAATCCCAAGGCCAAGATTACTCAGGCCGTGAAGAGACTGACAAGCAACCACCGACTTATCCTCACGGGTACGCCGATCCAGAACAATGTGTTGGAGCTCTGGTCTTTATTCGACTTCCTCATGCCTGGATTCCTCGGAGCCGAGAAGGTGTTCCTGGACCGATTTGCGAAGCCCATCGCGGCCAGCCGATACAGCAAGGCATCATCAAAAGAGCAGGAGGCCGGAGCCCTGGCCATCGAGGCGCTTCACAAACAGGTCCTCCCATTCTTGCTCCGCCGTCTCAAGGAAGAAGTCCTCAACGACCTCCCGCCCAAGATTTTGCAAAACTACTACTGCGACCTCAGCGACCTGCAGAAGAAGCTGTTTGAGGACTTCACCAAGAAGCAAGGCAAGAAAATACAGGCTGAAGCTGGCAGGGACGACAAGGAGGCCAAACAGCACATCTTCCAGGCTCTGCAATACATGAGAAAGCTGTGCAACTCGCCCGCCATGGTTATGAAGCAGGGAAGCGACGTCTACAACGAGACGCAGAAGATTCTCCAGAAGCAGGGAACAAGCATTGAGGATCCTGTGCATGCCCCCAAGCTCACTGCTCTCAAGGACCTCCTGATTGATTGCGGCATCGGTGACGACAAGGACGACTCCAACGACCCGCTCTACCAGCCGATCAAGCCGCACCGTGCCCTCATCTTTTGCCAGATGAAAGAAATGTTGGACATGGTTCAGAATAAGGTGCTCAAGGAAATGCTGCCATCTGTTTCCTACCTGCGGCTGGACGGATCGGTTGAAGCGAACAAGCGACAGGACATTGTCAACAAGTTCAACAGCGACCCCTCGTACGACGTGCTTTTGTTGACCACCAGCGTCGGCGGTCTTGGCCTCAATCTTACGGGTGCCGATACTGTCATCTTTGTAGAGCACGATTGGAACCCGCAAAAGGACCTGCAGGCCATGGACCGCGCCCACCGAATCGGCCAGAAGAAGGTGGTCAACGTTTACCGTCTCATCACTCGCGGCACGTTGGAGGAGAAGATCCTCAGCCTTCAGCGGTTCAAGATCGATGTCGCGTCTACGGTAGTCAACCAACAGAACGCCGGCTTGGCGACAATGGATACCGACCAAATACTCGACTTGTTCAACTTGGGCGACTCGGGACCAAGCCTAATATCTGACAAGCCGCAAAATGGCATCGACGGGAGGGAGGAGGACATGGTTGATCTCGAGACCGGGGACGTATTGCGGCAGCCGAGTAAGAAGGCATGGCTGGACGATTTGGGCGAGTTGTGGGATAACAAGCAGTACGAAGAGAGCTTTGACTTGGAGGATTTCATGAAGACTATGGCTTGAACAAGGGAAGGGTGAATGGCGTCTGGTTTCTCGAGGTTTTCGAGGAAGGGAACCCTCCGGTCTAGGAAGGGGGGATTCCCGGAAAACCTGCAGCAGAAAAGGAAAACAATCTACATGGTTAATCTTACTGGGCGCGGTCGGATATTGCTTTATATTTTGCTTATCTTTTCTTAGGTTTGATTCTCCCTAAACATTGAAACCGAACCTGCATGCTGCCCCTTTAGGATGTATGTATAGTAAAAAGAGGCTTAGGTTAAGGATCAGCAGCAAAAACAGAGAAAAAAGATTAATATAATGTGATTATATTATGCATATAAGTATATGTAAAAGTAAGAAAAAGCTATACATCCTACTTAAAAGAGGGGTAATAATATTACTATCTGTTTATCTACCTAATTAGGAAGGAGGGCTTTATCTTACTAAAAGCCATATCCTAAGGCTGCAGTAGTTATGCCCTTTTATAATTAGGGTAAGGAGAAAAATGCAACCTCTAGTTATTTTAAGAAGTAAATAAAAAAATGCTATTATAAATATTACTACTAGTAAAGTCTTTATCTCCTAGCTTCTATTAGTCCTTTTTTATAGTATATCTCTATCCTCCTTTATAAGGTCCTTTAACTCTCTTAAGTCTAAATCGCTTTCTTATTTAAATATTATCTTCTAGCTTATTAAGGTATAGTCTGCCTGGTTTTTTATAGCTTTTAATATTAAGTTAGCTATAGATTTTACTGCCTTATTAGCTATAATACAGTAAGTGCCTTAAAACCTAATAGCCTTTATAGCCTAGGAGATTAATAAGTTTACTTATATAGCTATATATTATTAAGGCACTATTATTATAAGCAGTATATAGTAGTTAGTCTATATATTTAGGCTAGCAGGTATATATATAATATCTAACCTTATTATTTAACCTAAAGCCTTAAATAGCTAGGCTTTTATATCTCTAGCTTTTATTTCCTTTAAGTTTAGGAGGTCTTTAATAATCTTAAACACTAGCTCTTTATCCTCCTTTTCTTAGGCTATATACTATTAAATTAAGGTATAAATAGTATTCTGCTAGTATACCTTTATTTCCCTTAAAGTAATAAGGCTATAATCCTAGGCTATATAATAAAGGCTGTCTATCCTTTCCTAGTCTTAAATTAATGCTTAATAGGTTACTAAACCTTTCTTATCTAGTTTTATAATCTTACTGCTTTTTCTTAGTTTAGCATCCTTTATAATAGTGTTATTAGATTAAGGTAGGACTAAGGCTAGTCCTTTATCCTAGCACTAAGCTATAAGGGAGGAGGGCTTAATAAAAGGCAATTTTATATTTAAAAAGGTAATTTATCTTATACTATTTATTACTACTTAGTGTCTAGGCATAACCTAGAGAATTCTTATTAAAAACATTTAGTAATAATATTACTATAGTTAATAAATATACTAGCAGTAAGTAGCTAGTAGCTATATTTTTTTAAGGTTAACTAAAGTATAAAAGGCAAAGATGTAGAGTGCTTTTTTTACTTCCTTATCTAAATCCTCTTTAACTGCATTCCTTTTAGTAGATTAATTTATAAGGATAGGAATAATATTATTACTAGTAACCTTGCAGGTCTTTTATAAAGCGCTTAATCTACCCCTTTTTATAGTTTTTAATAAGATAGTAGGTTTATTAACTAGTTATAGTATTACTCTTATAGGCTATAAGACCTTTTTTTAAAGGTAATTACCCTTTATAACGCCTAGAGTAAATATAGAAGGTTATTTATAAAAAGGAAGGCTAATAGTTAAGATGTTTTTTAAACTAATAAGTATAATCTCTGCTTTTTTAGATTTTTTATATTTTACTAGGTTATATAATATTAGAAATTCTGCTTTAAGGATATTAAAGGGGAGTATAATAATCCTAAATAGAGTAGATATTTAAGGAGCTTTTTTATAAATCTTATTATATACTATAATTCTCTTTATTAATATTTTTACTGCCTTTTTATTAATTTAAGGGATTTCCTTAGCGTAGAATAGTAATAAATCTAGGTCTGCAGCTTAATGCATTTATTATAATAAGTAGATATATTTTACTAGTCCTATAAGGTATATTTATTTAATTTAATAATTATATAAGATAAAGAACTTAGCCAGGCTAATATCTAGAACTTTATCCTTAGTCTTATTAAAGAGCTTTTAGCTTTTCCCCTTTCTTTTATTAGCTTTCTCTAATTCTATCTTTACCCTTTTTTACCTTTATTCTTTTATAAATTAATAAATATATAGCTTAATTAGCTAGGTAAGGGAGTTTTTAATATCTGCTTATAAATAAATAGCTAGGTATATGTAATTAAGTAGTAGTAGATTATAATAGGCTTTTTATATAAAATCCTTTAAGAGGTTATTAAGTTTTAAGGGATATAAGAATAAATAGATAAGTAGAGCAGCATAAATAAATCTAGATAGTTCTTTATAGCCTTTTATTAATAAGGAAATATTAAGCACTAAATCTAGTACCTTTTAGTTTATTACTCCCTGCTATTATTCTAGTTATTTTAAGATATTTATTAGTTAAAGTCTAGATTTTTAAGATCCTTTTATATTTAGTAGTATTTATATAATAATAGGTTTTAGTACTTTACCCTTTATAATATAATTAGATATCTTTTAGGTATTATTTATAGCATTATTTACTTTAGCCTATATTAGTAATAGATTATTTAAAGCACTTCTAGCTAGCAGTCCTTAAAGGACTTATATATTTAAGATAGATATAAGGTTTATATAAGGTATAACTTTCTGCCTATAAAGGCATTATAGTAAATATATTCTAAAGCCTAGTTATTTAAAGGAGAATTCTTCTAAACCTAGTTTCTTATTCTATTTTTAGTAAGTAAATATAGGTCTTAGTATAAAAGAACTAAAACCTATATACATAGCCTTTATATAAAGCTTGCTGTTTTATAAGTTAGCTTATAGCATAACCTTTTACTTTAATTTTGCCTATTTATTATTTATATAATATAAAAGTATTATACTAGCAGGCAGGTAGGTAAAAGTAATACTACTATTAGCTATAAAGCATCTTTTAAAGGCTATAGTATATTTATATGCGTCTTCCTTATCTTAATTAAGAGGTATAGTAACTAATTTACTAAGCCTTAATAGTTATTTACTATCCCTTTTTATAGTAAGGCATCTCTTGCCCTTTTTAGCAAGCTATAGCACTAGTAAGCCTATTTAATGCTTTAATAGCTCCTTTATTATTAAATCTTATAGAATGGTTATTATTATTAAATTATGCTTATAGAATTAAAAAGGTTGCTTTAATAATAAGGCAAGGCAGTAGAGTTAAGGAGGGTAAGAAACAGTAAAGATTTAAAGAGAAAGAGAGAAAAAAAGGTTTAAGTTTTAAAGTAAAAAAGGAAAGAAAAGAGATATAAAAGGATAGTATAAGGGTTTTTAAAAGGTAAGCTCTGCTTAGGTAATAATAGTTAAAAAGTCGCTAAGGCAGTTAATAATATAGTTAAGGTAAAAATATACAGTCTTAAAACTTAATTAAAGCATAATCTTAAGGTTATAGACTAAAGGTTAGTATTACTATTATATTTAACTATTACTTACTTTAAGAAACATCTTTAATATAGAATATTATTCTCTCCTCCTCCTTTTAGTTAGATTTTAAAGGGTTTGCCTTATAAGGAATTCTACCTTACTGCTTAACTAAAGGTGCTTAGTCTATAGCCTAAATATCTTTAAAGCGTCTTTATAGAATTCTAAAGACTTTACTCCTTTTATCTTTAACTAATTTATATTATATAAGGTATAAAAAGCCCTTCCTACTTTATTCTTAATCTTAAATAGTCCTCTTTAGCGATTTTTAAGCTTAGCTAGCTTACCTTTCTGCATTAATATTACTAGGTTGCCTATCTAATAGTCCTTATAGTCTTTTAAATAGTAGCTTGCCTTAATAGCCTTTGCCTAGTCTACTCTTTATATATCTTTATAAATCTTTATTATATAGGCTAAGCGCCTTAACACTGCGTCTATATACTGCTGCTTTTTAAGGATCCCCTCTCCCTTTTTTAAAGCGGCTTTTAATATTATTAAGCTTTAAGAGGACCTAGTATTTCTTAAAGGTCTTTATAACTTTATATTATAAAGAATTTTATAAGGTATATACCTTAGTGTCTTAATAAGTCTATTATTTATAGCTTTAGCTACCTTTTTTAGGCCTTTATCCTAGTTCTTTAATTAAGCTCCTGACTTCTTTATTATAGTCTAAGCGATCTTATTAATAACTTCTACCTTTCCTATGCTTTTATAAGACTTAAAAGGTATATTAACTACTAGGATTTATTAATAAGATATGCTATCCTTAAACTCTATTAATATAAATATTAATCCTAGATCTAAATAAAACACTATTAGTAAAATAGTAATATCCCTTAGCTATTTTATAACTTTATTAATAGCTTTAGTAGTATATATAGTTTAATAAAGAATAATCTATATATATTTTAAAAAGTAATTTATAATAACTAGTAGATAGATATATCTTATAGCGCTTAGTAAAAAAGGTCTTATATAGTTAATCCTTATAAGCTAAAAAGGTTAGTTTATATATATAAGCAGGTTAAGTGCTTTAAGATTATTAGGTATATATTTTATATATATTATGCATTTAGTAATATAGTCTACTATATCTTTTAGTATTATAGGCTATTATATATCTTTAGCTAGCATTTGCCTTATAGCCTTTAGTTTAAAGTAGCCGGCCTTATTATAAGCTTCCTTTAAAGCAGTAGCGACCTTACCTTTAAATAGGTATTTTAACTATTTAGCTTTCCCCTTATACTATAGTTATTTATAAAAGAGGGAATAGTTTTTAAACTTCTTACTAATTTACCTTATATTATATTAGCTTATTTTATTATCTAGGCTAAATTTTAAGAACTTTACTACTTTAGCATACTATTCCTTATTTTCCTAGTCTTAAGGTATTAATCTAGAAAGGCCTAGGCCTAGATTTCCTATCTTTAGGTAAGAGATAAATGCATTTACTATAACTATCTCTAAAGTAATATAAAGAGCTTAAGCATCTTTATTATCTATTTACTGCTAGGCAGCCTTTAATAAAGCTATATAGCTGTTTAATATAGTAGTAGGAACTTTTAGTATAGCTAGGGCAGGGAATTTCTTTAATAACTCCTTATACTTATTCTTATTATCCTTTTAGGTCTAGATTCCTTTTTTATTTATCTCCTTTAAGTCCTTTAGGGCAGATATCTTAATACAGTAGTTTAATAGAAATATTATTTAAGATAAAGTGTTAGCGGCTTTATTTCTCTTTCCTTTAATATATTTAATAACTATATTTAGTATCCTTATCTTACTTACTTATTAAGCATAGACTCTTTTATAATTACTAGAGGTTAGAAACTATATTAAAGGTTTATAATTAGTAAAGATAATAAATAGTTCTTTAGCTTTAAAAAAATGGCTATACTTATAGCTAAATTCTAGGATTATATATAGTTCCTTTTTATAAGTGCTATAGTTTCTTTATATCTTTATAAATAAAAAGGAGTTATAGAGGATTATAAACTTTACTTTATCTTTTATTTATATAATTATATATCCTGCCTTATATTTACTAGCATTAGAATATAACTAGGAAGGCAGGTTAAAGTAATACCTATTTTACTTTATAGCTATAGCAGCCTTCTCTTTTAGGATAATAAAGGCAGCTGCTTTTATAAATTTCTATTTTTATAAAATATCCTCTATTAAATAGTTTAGTAGCCTTATAATCTTAAAGCAGTTAGGTATTTATTATTAATAAGGTCTTAAGGCGCTTATAAAACTCCTTACTCCTGTCTAGTTAACTAGAATAGGAAAGTTCTTTAGCTTCTTAGCTCTCTTAAGTAAAATAGCTATCTTTCCTCTTACCTTATAAACTTATCCTATAGCTATAATTTCTATTATTTTAATCTCTATTTTCTTAAAGCTTAGTTTTTAAAGGGCTTATAAGAGTTTAAGGAGTAAGTGATCTTAAATAAAGGGCTATTCCTTTATCTTAAAGTTATAAAACTTTTTAAATAGATTATCTATATAAGGCTTAATTAGGCTTATGCTATCTAGGTTATTAAAATAGGTTAATAAGGGCTTTAAGAAGGGTTTTAGTATAGGTCCTAGGCCTATTCTTATTCCCTTTATTTAAGAAAAGGAGGCTAATTAGGTTCCTTATAGCATCCTTATAGCTTATAGTTATAAGAAACCTAATACGCTAAATACTAGTATATGCCTTAAGCTCTTATTTATAAGGATAGACTAGTATATATATTTAAGATTAAATTTATAGTATAATCTTATTTATAAATCTACTAGTTAATTATGCAG